TAGTAAGGCCTCACCTAGATTACGCAGCTTAGTTCTAGTCTCCATATTACAGAATGGATATAAATCCATTAGAAAATATCCAGCGAAAATTGACCAAATTAATACACAGCATTAGAAATCTTCCGTACAAAGAACGATTGAAGACTCTTAAACTACATTCACCTGTAAGACGAAGAATGAGGGGAGACATGATTGAAGTGTATAAGTGGAAGATGGGTATTAACAAAGGGGATATAAATAAGGTTTTGAGGATATCACTTCATGAAAGAACCCACAATAATGGATTCAAATTAGATAAGTTTAGATTTCAAAAGGATATAGGAAAGTATTGGTTTGGGAATAGGGTAGTTGATGAGTGGAACAGTGCCTAGTAGGGTTATTGAAGCTAAAATGATGGGTAGTTTCAAATTTAGGTTAGATAAATACATGAGTGAGAGGGGTTGGATTTGAGAGACTTGCATAATGAGTAAATAGAATCATCAAAACTTATTTCTTGGGTAGCATTGAAAACTGGGTTGGGCAAATATTTTGTTAGTGGGAAGGATTGTAAAGGACCTGCCTGGTATGGGCCAAGAGGCCTGCTGCAGTGTTCCTCCTTTCTTATGTTCTTATGAGCAAATTCGCCGATGACACAAAGATAGGTAGGATAACTGATTCAAATGTCGATGTTAGGGAACTTCAGGAGGATTTAGACAAACTCTATTCTTGGTCAGAAAGGTGACAGATGCAGTTCAACGTACATAAATGCAAGGTTGTGAAGCTCGGAAGTGTTCATAACCCTAGCACTTATAAGTTAAATAATTTAGAACTTATCCATACAGATTGCAAAAAGGACTTGGGGGCTATGGTAAGCAGCAACCTTAAGCCAACACAGCAATGCCTAAGAGTGCATAATAAGGCAAATAGATTATTGGGATTTATATCAAGAAGTGTAAGCAACAGAAGGTTATACTGCAGCTTTATACATCATTAGTAAGGCCTCATCTAGATTATGCAGCTCAGTTCTGGTCTCCATATTACAGAATGAATATAAATTCGTTGGAAAACATTCAGAGAAGAATGACTAAATTAATACATAACATTAGAAATCTTCCAAACGAAGAGCGATTGAAGACTCTTAACCCGTAAACGGTCCAAACGTATATATACATTTTTTCAACATTTGAAAGTATGTAAAAAAAGTTGAAAAACTCTGATCTACTTTTTTTTTTTGTTATATTTGAAAATATGTAAAAAAAAATGTAGATCTACTTTTGTAGCACTACACGTGAACATAGATCTGCTTGGACCGTTTACAGGTTAAACTACATTCACTTGTAAGACGAAGAATGAGGGGAGACATGATCGAAGTGTATAAGTGAAAGATGGGTATTAACAAAGGGGATATAAATAAGGTCTTGAGGATATCTCTCTAAGAGAGAACCCACAATAATGGATTCAAATTAGATAAGTTTAGATTTCGAAAGGATGTAGGCAAATATTGGTTTGGAAATAGGGTAGTTGATGAGTGGAACAGTCTTCCTAGTAGGATTATTGAAGCTAAAACATTGGGTAGTTTCAAATTTAGGGTGGATAAATACATGAGCGAGAGGGGTTGGATTCGAGTGGGACTTGCATAATGCGTAAATAGAATCATCAAAACTTATTTCTTGGGTAGCATTGTAAATTGGGTTGGGCAAATATTTTGTTAATGGGATGGATTGTAAAGGACCTGCCTAGTATGGGCCAACAGGCCTGCTGCAGTGTTCCTCCTTTCTTATGTTCTTATGGGTGTGCGCACTCAGTGCGCGCCATATGAAAAAAAATTGGGGACACCTGGGTACCACATGCTCTTTATTCCTATAAAAAAAAAACTATTTTTTTTTCTCAAGATATTTGGTGCGCAGGTGAACATATATATACGTTTGGACCCTTTAAGGGTTAATATACGATAGTGTAAACATGTTATCAGGCTTTTATATGCATCTGCAAGTGAAAAAGAGGATATGATTCACTTTACAGCAGTAGCCTGGACCCTAATTTGCTGTATAAGCGAGGCCCTCCTGTAGTCTTGTTGTTAGGTAAGACACATATGCAACAGTTAGGCATCTTTATTTCAAAACGTTTCGCCTACACAGTAGGCTTCTTCAGTCGAGTACAGAAAAGTTGATAGAAGCAGAAGATACTTGAAGACGATGTAATCAGTCCATCACCCTTAAAGTTTTGAGGTGGTCAGTCCCTCAGTCTGGAGAAGAGCATTGTTCCATAGAATGAAACAATATGGAGATGAAGTGACAGGATGGAGCCTTATATAGCACCAAGAGGTGAGATGTAGGTCACTAGAAGAGGTAAGAATTCAGATGTTGGGAGGTCAGGTCCCTCTCAAATCCAGCCGTTCTCACTAGTAGAGGTTGTCGAAGTTGATTGTAGGTCTGTACCAAGATACCCTTGTGTTGCAGTGTCTGACAGATTGAACATTAAAATGGTATAAAATACCGACAGGTTGTTAGGTAAGACACATATGCAACAGTTAGGTATCTTTATTTCGAAACGTTTCGCCTACACAGTAGGCGTCTTCAGTCGAGTACAGGAAAGTTGATAGAAGCAGAAGATACTTGAAGACGATGTAATCAGTCCATCACCCTTAAAGTTTTGAGGTGGTCAGTCCCTCAGTCTGGAGAAGAGCATTGTTCCATAGAATGAAACAATATGGAGATGAAGTGACAGGATGGAGCCTTATATAGCATCTTCGAGTATCTTCTGCTTCTATCAACTTTTCTGTACTCGACTGAAGAAGCCTACTGTGTAGGCGAAACGTTTCGAAATAAAGATACCTAACTGTTGCATATGTGTCTTACCTAACAACCTGTCGGTATTTTATACCATTTTAATGTTCAATCTGTAGTCTTGTTAACTGATTATTGAAAGTAATTAACAAAACTGTTGCATGGATCTAAATTATTAAAACCACTGATACTACACTTCCCACTGTAACCTAGAACATTGCCTAACCCTGTGTAAATTGACCCATAGACATTGCAAATTAAATGTGAGTGACACGTAGATGAGTGTTCTTGTGTTTTTTCAGTTGTAGGAGGTGAAGCAGATGTTTTATCCATCTCCTCCACATCAAAACCATTATCATGGTCATCTCTGTCATACTCACTATCATTATCCTGGTGTAAAAGACCTTCAATTTCATCCTGCATCTTTCTTTTTCCTCTTGATACCATCAATAATAGTGCAAGGGGCATGAAAAATTTTAATATTCATTAGCATAAGTGCATTTTAATAGCCAAATAATAAGTCTCTGGCATTTACTAGCATGCAAAAAGGATGTATAATATATTACTGAATATACATGAACTGAATAATATTCAAAAACACTGTACATAAATAACCCAAACAATGCAGTAACTTCAAAAGAGAAAAACCAAGGCAGTGTTGAGAGAAATATCAGTTGAGTATCAGCCAACTGAGCCTTGTCAATGTATGGTGCAGCATTTAGTAAAAAAATAACAGCACACAAGAAATCTTGACGTGCATTTCTCATTCATGTGGTGTACTCAAACACATCACAGTACAGGTGGAAGATTTTTTATATCCAAGGGGTAATTCCAAATTTTGCAGTGAAAAGCTAAAGCTATTTGGTTAAATATGTTGGAATGCAGAAATGAAAGGATTAAAAGGACCCATTCAGTGACTGACCAATTCTGAGAGGTGGCAGGCTATTCAAAAGAGAAAAAAAAAGTCTAAAATATTTTTCTGAAAGTTTAGTACAAAATTAAATGCTATATACTGCACCTAGGTCAAATGCTACCTATGACTACATTTGTGCAGTCACAGGCAGTCTTTATCTTTGTCAGCACTTTAAGTTCCCTTTTCTCCTTGTCTGCCTCTGCTCTAAACTTTGCTAGTTATCTTTGTCTGACTTTATTTGTTCTGCTACTAAATTTGCTGCTTCTTTTTATAATAATGCTACCTTTAGGTATAAAATATTTAAAAGCTTTCATTACCTGCCACATGCAACAACACCTGATTACCTTTGTTCACACACATTACGAAGATTCTCTCTGTGAACCCAGATAAATCACGTTATTTCCCAAACTGCAAAATCACTAAATACTGCATTGGAAATTATTGTAGTTATAATTTTTCAATGGACTCACTATGGTTAAAATCTAAGCTCAAAGCTAATGATTACCTTGCAAGCACTAAAGCACAATCAATTCTTACAAGCTGTCGACAGTGAAGCCATTAATATGAAAAATTTAAGTATACTGTACTTCATTGGATATTTATGCTAAACCACAATAGGATATTCCCTTTAGCAAAAACAACAAATTGATAAAAAAAAAAATTACACTAGAATACTTGTATTAAAATTTCTACCTGTAATCACAGTATTATGGAGCTGAAGCTTAACCAACATGTAGGAAACAAAGTGATTCCCTATATAGAGCATTAATCAATAACCTCAAGACTGTGGCCCCTAGAATAAAGTTACTGCATAAAAGAAAAAAGTACAACAATAATATCACTAAACATTGCACTTGAGGAAGAATACAGTGAATGCGAAAACTTGTGTACGAGCTGAGCTCAAACTCTCGTCTTCATCTGGCATGTGTGTTACAGGGAGCAAACATGCGAACTCCTTATAGCAAGTAAATTGCCCGAGCAGCCTATGACTTAAATGTCAATAAAGAGAGAGCAAAACAAATGTTTAAATGAATAATGTATTTATATTATAATGACCTCTTATTTATCATTTACAAGTCGGTAAAATTTTCTGTGAAGCCTTAGCAAGAAATTACATGGAACACCAACGGTCAGAAGGTTCCAAATTATTCTGTGCATAGCAAAGAATGCTATATAAAGCTAAGGTCAAAGCATGCACAACAAAATATCACATAATAAAGTAAAAAGGAATGAAAGATGTAATGTAAAGGCCTGGACAGCTTCTATAACAAAAACATGCCATCAGTGAACGAGTCAGACCTTATGTGTAGTGTCAACAGTACCTGTCAACAGAATAGATGCTGAGAAGAAACACCACCTGCAGCAAGCTGCCACAGCTTCTAAAACAATAAAAACATACTATCAGCAGAGAAGACAGACCTTTTAAACAAAAGCTTCAACAGTACCTGTTAATAGAATAAACGCTGACAAGTAAAACCACTTGCAGGAAAATGCCACACCTTCTAAAACAATAAAACTTGTATGTACCATCAGCTAATTCCCGAGGTAAAATTTTATACACAAAGAATACATGTAAGGCCATAAACCTGCACGTCGTCTCTGGCATCAACAGGATACTGCTCATAAGAATGCTAGGAATAAATAAAATACCACCCGCTAGAAGCTACAACAGTTCTGAACAATGAAGAAACCTGGAAATCCTTTCCTTCATATTAAACTATAAAATATCATCTGAGAGAGATTATGAGCCTTCAATCTTTCTCTGGCAACCCTCTGTGCACATCACAAAGATATAACGGTACTCAAATCAGTTCCTGTCATATGAGAATGATGAGCACTAGATGCTTACCTAAGTTAGGCATTGTAAATACTGTACTATATATGAATACCTGAAGAACGTTAATTTTTTTACTAGCTTTAAAGAGTAAACTATCCTTATACTAACTTGCTACTTAAATGCACTTTTAATCTGCTAGAAGTACTCTTACTTACAGGATGACCTTCACAGGCCACCCCTACATATTCATGCATAATGTGCAAGGTGTTTAAGTTAGAGAGACTAGGCTGATACAGTACACAAACAACCAGAGAAGAGCAATTGCTCTAGCTTTTTAATAAGTGCCACTATCTCTAGAGCAAACAGTCTTGTTTGTCTGTTTCCCTAGCCAATTAAACACAGAAAATGATCCTGCCATTACATTTGAAGTACTGAATCTAACAAAGATTAACTTATACTCGATCTGCACTAACACAACATCTGCATTAGTGAGTGGAATATATCTGTAAATTTTTCCTTGCTCTAGGTAATTTGAAAATAAGGTCAAAATGAAAAGCTAAGCTAATACAACATTGATATTACACAACATGGGTACTGTAAATGATTGGGAAGAAGTAACAGTGTGCAACAACTTATGTAGATCTGATTTTACACATAAATGAGTGACAACTTAAAACTAGTACGTACTGGGTTTACATGTGAATGAGAAGAGATAACATGGTGTGTGTGAGACTTAGGATGGAATTTCAAACATTAAAAATGGAACACCATTGTCCAGTTGGTACACAATTCCATATTCTGACCTTTTATTTGGATGGAGTTGACATGTTTGTTTCGTGTCTGTATATATGAATGTTATAATATTTAAAATCAACTATTAATCCTTCAAGTAAAACAGATCGAAGTGCGCTCGGTGTTTGGTTTGATAAAAAGACATATGCAATTTTAGACATTCACTATGGCAACATTTCATTACTCATGAAATCATGATAAAAATTTAATATTCATTATTTTCAAATAGGTTAGGTAAGATTAATGTATATTCACCTATATTTCCATGTAACTACACAATAATAACAAAATTAAAGGAAGGGTGGCTTAGTCTAGCAGCATAGGACAGCATAAGGCATGTATCAACCCTAAAAATGTCCAAATGTAGACCTCCGTTTTCACTGTCAGCGCTCCGACTTTTTTTTTTTTAACAAGACAAAAAAAAAAAAAAATTATAGTATCAGTACTTACCAAGATTTAACCCTTTCAGGGTTTCCGATGTACCAGTATGACTTATGCACCAGGGTTATTGACGTACTAGTACGCATAAATTCTAGCGCCTTCAAATCTAGCAAGAGAAAGCTGGTAGGCCTACATATGAAAGAATGGGTCTATGTGGACAGTGTGCGCAGTATAAAAAAAAATCCTGCAGCACACAGTGCGTAATGAGAAAAAAAAAACTAACCGTGTTTTTCGGTTTCAAACGGCGACTTTGCACTGTATTTTCGTATGGTATTTATGGTTGTATTCTAGTTTTCCTGGTCTCATTTTATAGAATGGAAGACACAATACAGAAATTGAGATGATTTTGATTGGTTTCACAATGAAAAGTACCTTGAAATTGAGTTCAAAGTACCAGAAATGTTCGGCTTTTGCCAAAGTTCAAAAAATCATGCCACGCGTCCAATACACGTCAACTGGTGAGTCTAATATTCTTTCACAAGTGCACTCTTATTATTTATACCATTTCTACACTAATGCAGTAGTCTGCATAACAGTAAATCTTCTCTTCTTCGTGAGAATAAAAATTCTAAGTGGAAAGCAAAAAAAAATGTAAGAGGAGCCTGGGGACATGACTAATGAACAGTGGAAATGTTATTTTAGTGCCAGGAATGTCTGTCTTGTTTATTCTAGACCCTATTTGGAAATTGGAATCTTTTGAAATTTGTGTGAAATTGGCAAAATTGCTAATTTCTGACCACTTTATTGGATAGTTGAAATCGGTAAATGGGTGGTTTCTTGCACTCATTCGATAGAAAAATGGAGTTCTAGCGAAATACAGTGGACCCTTGCCCAACGAACGCATCGCATAATGTTAAATCCGCCTAACGAAGTGTTTGAGAGTAAAAATTTTGCCCCATCTAACGATAAAAAACTCGACCAACGTGATTCGTCCGGGACCTGTCGACGCTGCCCAGTGGGTGCCAGTGTTTACAAGCTAGCCAGTGTGGTCGCAGCTACGCATACATTTGGTACATTTCACATTATCCCAGTGTTTTTAGTTTACCTGGAGTTTACCTGGAGAGAGTTCCGGGGGTCAACGCCCGCGGCCCGGTCTGTGACCAGGCCTCCTGGTGGATCAGAGCCTGATCAACCAGGCTGTTGCTGCTGGCTGCACGCAAACCAACATACGAGCCACAGCCCGGCTGGTCAGGAACTGACTTTAGGTGCTTGTCCAGTGCCAGCTTGAAGACTGCCAGGGGTCTGTTGGTAATCCCCCTTATGTATGCTGGGAGGCAGTTGAACAGTCTCGGGCCCCTGACACTTATTGTATGGTCTCTTAACGTGCTAGTGACACCCCTGCTTTTCATTGGGGGGATGGTGCATCGTCAGTGCTTGTAACTGCAAAATAAGTCTAGAATGCTTCTAGTGCCAACCCTATGGTAAAAAGGGCGAGAATTAATATGGAATTCAAAAAAGAGATTAAGGAAATGTGTGCAAAGTGGGTTGAACTGCAAACCTTTATGGATGAAAATCACCCTAACACAACTATTTCAAGCCATGCCGGTGACTATTACAATGACAATGTTGTGGCCCATTGTAGGCAAATCTTAAAGGAACGCAACAGAGGTCCAGTGACTCTCAAACTGGTCCTAGTGGCATTAAAAGAAGAAGGGAAGTAACCCCAGAAAAGGACTTGCTACCTCAAGTCCTCATGGAAGGGGATTCCCCTTCCAAACAATAACAACTTCTACAATCTCCCCTCCTCCCATCCCATCAATCATCACCAGATCTTCAATAAAGGTAAGTGTCATGTATTCTTTAATTAGTAGAATAGTAATTGTGCATGTCTTTATGGGTGTATAAAAATGTACATTTCATGTGGTAAAATTTTTTTTTTTTCATACTTTGAGGTGTCAGGAACAGAGTAATTTGATTTCCATTATTTCTTATGGGGAAAATTAATTCAGCTAACGATAATTTCATCTAACAATGAGCTCTCAGGAACGGATTAACCCTTTGACTGTCGTGGTCGTATATATACCTCATAGGAGATACGGTGTTTGACGTATTTATACGCATAAATTCTAGCGGCTTCAACTCAAGCAGGAGAAAGCTGGTAGGCCCACATGTGAGAGAATGGGTCTCCATGGTCAGTGTGCACCACATAAAAAAAATCGGGGAGCCAGTGGTGCATTGTGGGAATACCATTTCAGTCGTCCTTTTTCAGCATGTCTAGCTGTAAGAAATATGTGACTCCCCAGCAAATCTGGGACTCTTCTCTTCCCAAGTGATGCTCTAACACAGATGGAAGTGTCAATGAAGATCAATTTCATGATTTTGAGGAGTTTGAGACCAAAAGCAATGGAGGAGGAGGAGGAGGAAGAAGAGGAGGAGGAGGAAGAAGAGGAGGAGGAAGGAAGGAAGGAGGAAGAGGAAGGAAGGAGGAAGAGGAATGAAGGAGGAAGAGGAAGGAGGGAGGAGGAGGAGGAAGGAGGGAGGAGGAGGAAGGAGGGAGGAGGAAGGAGGGAGGGAGGATGGAGGAAGGAGGGAGGTGGAGGAAGGAGGGAGGAGGAGGGAGGTGGAGGAAGGGAGGGAGGAGGAAGGAGGAGGAAGGAGGGAGGAGGAGGAAGAAGAAGAAAGAAGAAGAAGAAGAAGAAGAAGAAGAGGAAGAGGAGGAAGAGGAGGAAGAAGAATAATAATAATACCTAATAATAATAATATGTAATAATATGTTCCCTCGAGGCATGAAAACAGTTCACCCCATGACAGTGACAAGATAAGGGGAGATAACATCTGATAAGAGCTGACCTTTGATGAGCGTAAACGAGGGTGGAGGGAGGGGGGCAGCTGTCTATCTGTCAAGAGCCAGGAGGAGGAGAAGGAGAAGAAGGAGGAGGAGAAGGAGAAGAAGGAGGAGGAGAAGGAGAAGAAGGAGGAGGAGGAGGAGGAGGAGGAGGAGAAGGAGATAAGATAAGATAAGATTTCGTTCGGATTTTTAACCCCGGAGGGTTAGCCACCCAGGATAACCCAAGAAAGTCAGTGCGTCATCGAGGACTGTCTAACTTATTTCCATTGGGGTCCTTAATCTTGTCCCCCAGGATGCGACCCACACCAGTCGACTAACACCCAGGTACCTATTTGCTGCTAGGTGAACAGGACAACAGGTGTAAGGAAACGTGTCGAAATGTTTCCACCGCCGGGAATTGAACCCGGGCCCTCGTGTGTGAAGCGGGAGCTTTAGCCACCAGGGGGGGGGGGGGGGGGAGGAGGAGGAAGGAGGATGAGGAGGAGGAGGAGGAGGGGAGGAGGAGGAGGAGGAGGGGAGGGTGGAGGAGGAGGAGGAGGAGGAGGAGGAGGAGGAGGAGGAGGAGGAGGAGGAGGAGGAGG